ATATAATTATATTGAGTTACGAATTGATTTTCACGTATATATAATATAGCTTACAACAAGAAGTGTCATAAATTGATTCAATAATGAATTTTCCATACAGGGTGATTTATTTTAATCTTAATAGGAAAATATTTTTAAAATATTATACAATTTTACTAAAACAGATTCCAAGAAAACATTGTATGGTATAAAAGATGATGTATAATCATCTTTGATGGTGACATTCCCTTTTATATTATGTATTTTATTTTAATTTAGAATGTTTTTTTGGTAAAATTGCATATTTTTGAAATATTTGTCTAATTGTAAGATTAAAATGAGTCCTCTCTGTATAAGTTAGTGCGAGGTCCTTTGAAATGGAGTAAAGCACAACGGAGAGAAAGAGGAGAGGATTGAGAAAAAACTAAGTAAAAATAATGCGCGCGAGATCTTCATAATTTTAAAATAGAAGTAATCTCTCTTGTACGACTGTAACTCTCGCTACGAAGAGCCTGTTACAAGAAAATCATGTAATACGAGTATGAGTAATCGAGATTTGCGGATGACTGATCGCCGTCCGATAAACGAAATGTCAATATTTTAATTCACCTTAATTCAATGATTTTATTATTTCAGTTATTGACAAAATTATGCTTATATATTATATTTATTCGTACTTAGACGTTTGCAATGTATTGATCGAGCTTGACGATACAACATAGATACAATTTTATCAGTTCGGATAAATCGCTTAAACTTTTTAAGATCATTCTGATATTCCTGAGATAAACAACATTAACAACAATAACATAAATATTAACGGAAGAATAAATAATTTCTCGCTGCAATTCATCACAATTTTATTGTGCAGTAAAATGTACATTCCGTTACGAAGGTGTGTACAATTAATATAATAGCAGAGATATCTTTGGACAACAAATTTCTGTGTGTGGCAGAAGAATAACATTTCTTGAACACGTTTGAACGCTGTATAGATATCGGAATAATGACTGCTGATTGCTGTACGCATAAAATTGTTGAAGTTTGAAAAGTCAATAAGAGTAATAGAATTTGTGCTGAAAAAATTATATATTGTTTCGTATTAAAAATTACTTCCGTTTATAACTGAATGTATAGAATTTAAATTTCATGAATTCACTTCTTTCATATTGAAATCATACAAATTGAATAAAATACACAATTTTTTTAACAAACTGAGCTGGAGTTATTATACAATACGTTAATTATATAGATAATCGGATAAATACATTTAGCTTTGCAGCTTTCTGTAGAAAACAATAAATATATATTAGTATATATATATATAT